ATAGGGGGATTACTCTTGGTCACTATAAACGCATATTGAACATGCAAATACTTATAAAACCATGTATCTTCTCCCTATCATCCGAATATTATTCAAAATACGCATAAACAACACGACTTTTTTGGATTCACTTTCGCGAACACGCGGATTTCCGCTGGGCGATATGTGACGTTTGGAAGCCGCACAAATGATTTGCGTAAAACAATAGACATCGGCAGTTCCATATAATTTGATTAGCGGCAAAACGACTCTGCGGGCCGCCCGACCGCCCCCTGAAGCGAAATCCATATTTCCACAACTCAAACATACACACAAAGAAGAAGTTGTTAAGAAAAAGGCAGCGTGTGGGCCGAGGGAAAATATTTATTCGGATGCGGGCGCTTTAATCATTTTGTTTATTATTCCAGCGCACGTGTTGAGGAATGGCCCGATGGCGTAATTTAGTGCCGCTTCGGCTTTTAATCATCGCCAGGCCCCCATTCGAACTTGATGGAAACAAAATAAAATCTTACAGCACAGATCTTGTTGCACTCGAACGAGTTTTATGGGCAACGTTTTAGGGTGTGAAGAAAGTTGTCTCGGAAACAATGGGCTTTTTGAGAGCATAATTAGAGCTGCGCCCATTTGCGGGATCTTCTGTAAGCGTGACAAATGCGGTGCTCTTTTTATAATGGTTCTGTAATTTAGGACGAAGAAATTTAAAAAAGGCGTAAGTAAGAGGAAAAAAATATGTTAAACGTCGATTTGCAACAATTTAACTAAAATGGAATTCAGTAAATTAAAAACGTAGCTATTGTAATAAATTGTTGTGTCGCAATTTTACACTTTCCAAATTTGATTTGATATAATTTCCTCATTTATTTTTAATCATTCTCTTTATTTGGTAAGCCTTTTGTTTTTTACTGATTTTCCCTTTTATGGACGTGTTTGAGCTGGACCTTGGATGAGTCGCTCATGTCTTTCCATCGTAACAACGTCGTAGGCGCCCCTGTCTGCATCACCCGATCAAAGAATCGATTGGTCAAATCGTAAAAGTGCAACCCTATAGCTGGTGGCGGTGAAGGTTGCTCTCTGAGAGGCGGAATTAGACTTGTACGTATTTCTATTTCAACGGCGCAGGGCACGCCACCCCTTGTGCACGCGATTCCTTTGTAACACTCGCTTCTAATCGCAGATGGAAACAGCGGTAAACAGCAACCGACTGCAGAGAGCGAACGGGGGACTTTTAGGGGCTCAATCCCTTGCTGGGTTCAATGAACCGTTTGTGAATCGGAGAAGAAAATAAATTCGCTTGCGACGCAGCTCGCAAGTAATTGACTTTGTGCACTTCAGCCACCAACGACGGCAAAGAGAAATACATGATTTAGTAAATTTAGGAAAAGTTTCTTTGAAAAGGCTAAATAAACAAATATTGCTGATTTATATATTTTTCAATTAAATCCTGTACATTTTTTAAAACAAATAACTAATAATTTAAAAATTTATCAAATATTATTTTGATTGCAAAACTATTAAAAATTCAAATCGTTGAGTAAGAAATTTATTGAAAATTGATATTTATTATTGTGAAATTTTATTGCATCTGCTGAATTTATATTTTATTTTCCAATCTTTATTATCATTTTTCCGATCAATGCGTGTTCCAAAGCTTTCTTGTATTAGTAACATAAAAATGCCGCATAGCGTTTCTCGTTATGAATGTAGAGGAGCGTTGATTTGAATAGAATCGATCATTGACTGCATCACCAAATGCGAGCGGACCAGAAAACGAAGCCAGCCGAGCAGATTTATATATCTTTTCCACACATTCCTCCGCAGTAAATATATTTTATATACACATTCAACCAATTTTCCTACCCAAGGCGCGCTACCAAAGTATCGATCAGCAGCAAAATGCCTGCGTTTTGTTATTCAAATGCGTTAAATTGCGGCGGCAACTTTTTAATGCGAGGCCTGCTTGTGCGTTGATAGGCCACTTTTTCAATGATTTACCGCGGCCGGAGGGGCTGCTGCACTCAACACGCATTGTCGCAACGCAGAATCCGATGCCAAAATGGCCCTTAATGTTGAGAAGGCATTCGAAACTGTAAAAAACAAACACAACCACAGAGTTTCCCCGCTGTAAAAAAAAACGCATTAAACACCTGCTGGAATTTCCAATAAATGACCTCTGCATCGTCAGGGTTTTTGCAGCATAATTTAACGAGGAGCTTGCGCTCCTGACACCAAGAAAAATGTTTGCTGAAAACAAAATTCAAGAAGATTCTCAGTGATGCCCAGTAAAAGGCGTTTTCAAAACGTCGTTTGTTTCAAACAATCCAATTTAAATTTATATTATATCATGAATTTATTGTCTGCTTAAAACTATTGTAGAAAAAAAATTAATCAAACTGTTTTTCTGCTGTTTTTTAGAGTGCTTAATTATATTTGAATAAACAAAATCAATTCGTCATGATTGACAACAAATTGCTAAAAGATAAGCTGAATTACAATTTTCATTTTCTTTCAAAAAATTGTTCAACAAAAATTAAGGACATATAAAATTCGTAATGGAGACATCAAAAAAGCCACGCATTGTCTATGATTTCCCCTGAGCAAAAATCTCCAGCAGAAAGTGGGAATGCCCTTTCATACCTGCCACTAAACCCAGATAGACTTATGAAAAATTAACACCTGCGAATCAATCCCCCCTGCGAAGGTGCGTTGCCAGTCGGAAGCTTGGTGCTAAATATTTCACGCGCGTAGGGGCGGAAATAAATGTGCGCGGTCTATTTATTTGGCGACTCCTCCGTCGAATGCATCTTCCATTCTCTCTCTTGGCGCAAAACCATCCCCAAACGTGTTTCCTTCGCCTTGGCAACCGAAATGCTTCCCTCTCGGCATCGCAAGTGCATTCGTAGAAATAATAAACTCCGTTAGGTTGCTTTCCGAATCGCATCAGCGCCGAGATTTTCATCATTCGCTCCACTTGCTGCCCAGGATTAAAAATATCGACCCGTCCTTCTACCTTCCGAACTTCATTTAATCACGATTAATGACCCACAACACATGCTGGGCACGGTAAATGTTTGCTGCACCACAGGTTTGATGCGCGTCCGTAGATTAAAAGAGGAGAAAATTGGAAATAAGCTGGCAGCAAGGATTAATGGATTGCTTCTACAATATTTATACAGTCAATACTGATCATTCAACATTTGGAAATTAACAAAGTTCACTCTCACTTGAATATCACGATTTGAAAAATAAATCAATGTAAAGGTCAGGCCAAAAGGTAAAACCGCGAGAAATGTAATAAAAATCGAATTTAATTATTAAAATTAATAGCTTAACTTTGAGATCTTATCAAGGGTGAAATTAAATATTCTCAGTTTCCGCATCAAGAGAAATATAACTCTGGACAAATTTATATTTTTTTATTTTTTTTTCTCCCTAGAAAATTGCATCAGTCAAAGTTGATTTATATTCAAAGCAACCCCTCTTGGGCAATGCCATATTTTTTGTCTCCCTTTTTCACACAAAGCAAAAAGCACGAATCACGCCAATTTGTAGTCATTTGTTAGCCATAAAGAATTCCGTTTCATTTTTTTCTTCGAGGGGCAGAGAGGAAGCAGCTTGATGTTGCTTTTTTCTGTTGATTTTTTGACTTGCGTCCAAAAAATAGAACTATATAAAACAGCGGCCAGGGGATGGTCGTTCTGCCTCCGTTTAAAAATAAAATTATCAGCTCCTATTTCTGCAAATGACGATAAAAGAAACGCGTGCTTGTGCTTGGACAAAAGTGGCTGATAAACAAGGACAGACAATTCGATACAGCGAGGAGAAGAAGGAATCGCCGCTTCGCATGCAAGGACGCCTTTTTTATTTTCACCCAGCCGGCTTGGGTTTCAAGGTGAGAAAATTAAAAAGGGCTCGTACAAAAAGCAGAGCAAGCAGCCAGCGAGCGGTTTATTAAGAAAAAAATGTCATGCCCCTTAATTTTGTCCTCTCTTTCAGGGGCTTTGTTCGAATGAATGAATAGCACAACTCGAACAACGGAAACACAAACCATCGTGTCCAACCCCAGCAAAAATTTTACAAAAGTAAAAAAAAGAAACAGCTCCTCTCCTGCTTACGCAACCAAATATTTTTTGTTCGTACAATAATAATTTTAAATTAAATTTAAATATAAAAAATATGTATGAAGTTCAAAAAGGGTGAACCTGGAATTATTGTAAAATAAAAATCTGAAACTTTTGGCACCTGTCATAGACAAATTTCAGCACAGGTGCGAAAACATTCCCTAGCAACCACCGAGCCCGGGTTGGAAATAAAGCGATTCGGCGTAAACCCAAGTGTCAGTCGGCCAATTCGGCCAAGCGTGGGTGTCCGAGAGGCGACGCTTCGGCAGCCGTTGTTGGGGCAAAAGGTGGATAAATTGGAGGGTCGAGAGAGCTCGGCAAGCAGCGACGGGTCGAACGTGTGTTTTCATGGGAAAATAGCCCTTATTTGTGGCAAGTGCGCCTCGCACCGAGGCTGATCGAGCAAGCAAAAGGGCGGCCCAGAGGCCAAACTCACCCCAGAAACCAGTCCACGGTGTCGCGGAGATATTCAGGTAGCCTATCCAGCTTGGAAAAGTGCTATTGTCCTTTCACAAATAATACAAATTCGATCAGATCGCGGGATCAAATTTTACACCATATTGCACTGCCAGAACAAACATGGCTTCCTAAATTTGGTCAGCTGAAGAGCGGGCCCAGTGCTGCCGGCTTGCTGCAGCGGCACACAAACGTACTCGATCCGTGCAGCATCCCAGTGGCGGCACCACATCTCCTTAGTTAATTTTTCCATTTCACATGCATCATCAAATCAATTGAACAATTGTAACTGATTTGGGTATCGAATAAAGCCAAGATTTAAGTACGTAAGGCAATGCTGATATTTTTCTTTGATCATTGCAATAAAAAAAATTGAAAATAAATTTGGAATTAAACTAATCCAGGACTGCAAGAAAAATCAGGTGATCATTTATAAAAATTTATTGAAAATTTTCTCATCGGTCAGTTTTTGTGCTGAGGAAACCAAAATCATCTTGTTAACAGCTAACATAGTTTTCATCAATTTCTGCATAGGGCGCTTACTTAGTTGTAGTAATCCGAGAGACAAGCAAACAACACAAAATATTTTAATTAGTTTTATAATTATTGACGCAATTATTCGTGAACCATAAATTTGCTAACCAAGTTTAAATGATATAGATATCACATGGATTATACATTTCCAAATGGTATTAAGTCAGTTCTGTTTCAAAGCTATTCTCAAGTACATAAAGCAGGGTGAAAATCAAATTATCTTTCCATGTAGCAACAAATTAATCAGCTGAAGAAAAAAAGTAAGGGGCCAAACCAAAAGATTATAACAGTTTTAAAATTAAATTACAACATTGTTAAAATTTTTATTCCTTTTTCGTTTGTTTTTGGATTAAATAATGGGGCTAAATTCATGCATTCTCTCATTCTGTAGTGCAGGGGGCTAATCGAGTGGCTAATAATTATTTTCAATAATGTTGAGTTAACAACCTCACCAAGTCACAATGCAACACCTTTTTTAACATTTTGGCTACATAATTTAAAACCAATCTAACCTACAACATGACAAATGACGCTTGCAGATGTTTGTCGACACCACGACTGTTCACGAAGATAATTCGCAAAACCGGAACAGAATTGGTGTCGACAACTGCAGTTGAAAGGTCAACAACACACACACCACTTCTAGATAGTAATATAGGGGTAGATTGAAATGCTAACTATTTTTAGTGCCAGGTAATTGAAGAGAATGATCATACCAACGGCTGGTCATTAAATTTGCTTCCTAAAACTCAAAACGGGCAATTAAGTGTAGAGGGGGCTACTTAAAGAGACGTCAAGTAAGCTCTGGAAGGGACTGCTTTCTTTGATTGATATTATTTTTATGTTGCCTACTAGAATCACAGAAACAACTTAACATTATTGGCAAATCATTGTGAGAATCTTGATTACAGTCGCACAGTAGTGTGTAATTTCTCATCTTGCGCAGTTACATTGATTTACTTCATTTGTTTGAAGTCCATCGGTCGATCGATTGCATCAGAAACACAGAACGAAAGAAAACTAAAGAATGCAGCACTCCCTCTCCGCAGGCTGCTCAAAATACTGCACAAAGTAAAAAATATAACTTGATGATCACGTAGGTTGGGTGATGCAGAACGTGGAAATTCTTGCTGAAGTATGTCTGTCGGTTCCCATTGAAATTTTAAGACTAAAGAGGAAAATAGTAGAACAACCCCCTCCCTTATAAATCCACTGTGTCAAGTACAGACAGTTACGCCGAAAACCCTCATTGATTTTGGTTATAATGTTATAAAATATGGTTGCGGTTGGTTTTGGCAGGCGCATTAAAATGCTCATTAGTCATCGCCTTCCTCATCTTCTTCCTCTTCGTATTCAGCTTCAGCCAGCCATGTCAACCACTGATTTACCTGCAAAAGAAAAATGCCATACATTAGAACTGCGGTAGACAGAACAAGATCAACAGAAATCACCTGGAACAGTGCGTTCCCCTTGCCTGGATAATCATCAGATATATCTTCCTTCCACTTCATGAATGCTTCCTCTTCAATCACTTCCAGATCATACAAATTGTGGAACCAGCGCAAAAGCATACCTTTAATTTCAAAAATTTGTTACTACAAAATATAAAAAAATGCAAATTATTTACCTTTGGGGAACTGAAGAGAGTGGCAAAAGGTTTGTAGTCCGTACACAGCAATCACTTGCAGGTCCACCTTCTCATGAAGGAATGACTGCAAGACCAATTTGAACCGTCCGAGCAAAGCTTGCTCTTTTTCCAGCACAGCCTTTTCAGGCGGGTTGCTTGCATCAAGGCCCTCGGCCAATGTAGATTCCTAGACACAAGAATATTCAATACTTTAAAATAACCATCATATATTTCTCCATACCTGTGTTATGTATTTGATGAGCACAGTCACCAGGGCATTGACAAAGCCTGGATTAGTGTAGTGTGAGGGATCGAGGTTCTCTTTGATCCATTTGTAGAACTGAGTGGGATTCGGATCAGACTGAAAAACAAGTTTAATATTTAGACTGGAAATTTTAAATAAAAATGGGATTTTGGGTTTTATTTTTTGTCAGACAATCATTAGCCGTCTTTGGGATAAATCCCTCCGGTGGAAACCGCGAATGAATAAAAATGATTTTCATCATGTTAAATTAAATGATATTTTATCAGAATAAAAGGCCCACCTGCAGTTGCTTCCAAAGCTCAGACTGGATCCTCAAAAGAGGCAGCAGGAAGCTTAAGTCGCGATCCTCCAGAATCTCAGCGAGTCTCTCCTTGGTCCTGTCACCCTCAGGCAGCATTTGCAACAAGTTCACCTTGCTGTCTTCATAAAGCTTTCCCAAAGGAACCTTCCCCTGGGTCTTGTGCAGTTGCTGGAGGAGGAGCATGAAAAGTGGGTAGTGAGCTCCATGCTCTGTTAACTCGGCAACCTCAGCAAGGGTGACCATTTCAGCACTGATGGCATGTGCAGCGAATCCTAAGCAATTCAGTAGAATCTTAAAAACAATGCAAGTAAAAAGCGGAAGAAAATAAATCTTTTTAATATTTGAATCAGACACTCATTAACCATCTTGAAGGAACTAAGTTCCCTTCCGGTGGAAACCGCGAATGAAGTAAAAAATATTTCATCATGAAAAATGCTGTCAATTAAAAAAAAAATGCGTTATATTCACCAGCAACATGAGAGAATATCCTTGGAATCTCCTGCTCCTTCTCAGACATCTGCTTGACAAGCTCTTTGATCGAGTCCATGTACTGCACGGCTGTGATCAAAGCTTCCTTCCTAATGGAAACCATTAGGTTGCTCAGATGCTCCCTTTCCACATCTCCCTTGTCCAGAGACTTGACCATCATGGCAAGCAGGATCTCTGGCACAAATCTATCAGGGATCTTCTGCTCCCTGTAGAAGCTGATGGCCTCGGTTGTGTTCCCTGAGCTCAAGAACTCCTCCATCATTGTGTCGATCTTCTTCAGCAGCTCCTCCTTGTTTGGTCCCTTGTCTTTCTTCGAAGCTTTGTTCTTGTCCAATGACGCTTGTTTGATCAGGATAGCTGACTCCTTTTGCATCATTTGAGGAGGGCTCTTTTGGCCAGCTTGCCCAGGAGGGAGGAGTGATTCTATTGGTCGACCTATAAAAAAAAAATCAATCAAAACACTAGCCATAGTAAATTTTCCTTGTATGAAGCAGACGGTTAATACCTGTAAGCTGAAGTTTGGACACAAAAGCTTACAAGTAGATTTTCTTCAATTAATATGGCACCCTTCCCAAGGAACCCAAAAAATACCTCATAAGTCCCAAGTTTGAGCCGAGTGCAAAAGAGAGGAAGAAATATTTAAATTTACTAACCGGAATTCATTCCCATGGGTGGCTTTGGCGGGTTGGTGTTCTTTTTGAAAAGCATTGAATTTGCAGCTGGGCGCAGGGAAACCTCCTCGGGGTTGTGCATAACTTGACCCTGCATTATCTTTTGCATGAATCTTGGTGCAATCTCTTTGTTTCCTCCCTCTGCAAAAAACTCAAGTCAAACAAACTCATAGCTATAAATCTAGGGCAACTCACGGTTGGGAAAGTTTTGTTGCTGTTGTTGTTTGTTGTTGAAGTTTTGCCTGTTCTGATTAGGATAAAAGTTTTGTTGGTTTCCTCCGTTGCTGCCACTAAATCCAGAGTGGCGTTGGTTGCGGAAATTACCAGAAGATGGGTATCCATTTGAGTTGTAACTACTGATAAATGAGAAGAGAAATTTGTAAAACAAAAAATCAATGTACAAAAACTGCATTTTAAATATTGATTAAACTCAGACTTTCATAACCGTCATTGAAAGACTCCGGTGGAAACCGCGAATGAATAAAAAATATTTTCATCATAAATAAAAATAAAAAATGGAATACGGAACAAAACACTCACTTGAACTTGTCTTGTTGAAGGTTTGAAGCGCCGTTGCCAAGAGGCAAGTGGCTCAGCATGTCAGACATCCCAACCCTTGTCTGGAGAGGGCTCCGGAAAAACTCGTGCATGTGCCGTTGGTCAGAGTTACCATGCCGTCCAGGACCGTCACTGTGCATGCTGCCAGAATTGAAGCCGCGACTGGAGTTTTCTTCACTCCTGATCTGCTGGATGGGCATCGGGCCTTCAACGTTGGTGGCTTTGCGAGGCACCCAGTGATTCCTGCGCAACTCAATTGCATCCTTTAACATGAACCTGATACGCAGCGGAAGTTCGTGGTTCTCAACCAGCCTTGCCATGCGATCAAAGTATTGATTCATAAGGGTCTGAAATTTTAAAATTCATTAGAATAAATTAAAGATGAAGTAAAATTAAATTACTTTGCCCTTTTCAGAGTCCAAAATTCGTCCACAGGTTCTCATTATCTGACAGAGGCACTCCAGGTCTTCCGCGGTGTCCTTAGCTGAGCCCAAGCGATGTTTTTTCTTCTCCAATAACTGCTGGCAACAACGATGTAAGATGGCTTCATGCAAGATCTCCAACTTTCCGAGCTCTCCAATAAACTGCAATTATAAATGTGTAAAAATATTGTAAGAAATTGTAAATACAAAAAAACGTAATAATATTAATTGATAAAAGGCCTCAGATGGCCCCTCGCGAACTTGTCATCTTTCAAAAGTCTGGCATCTGCCACAGGAGTTAATCAGGAGAAAAACTCCAGGCCAATGCAAGAGCGAAGTCATCACTGGCCAGTAATATTATGAGACACAGCAAGTATTTACCTTGATATTGCCAAGCATCTTGCGCTTGGCCAACTGCAAACGTTCATCCTCTTCTGGGGATAGCACTCCATCGTGGTTTTCAAAGGCTTCTGCAATTTTTGATCTAGAAATTTAAAACATGATAATGAGTGAAATTCCTGGCAACTTGATTAATATGTTTCCGATTTGCAAAACAGCCGAATCACAAACAAAACGGCCGCGATTAAAAAGGAATCTCTTTCCCTCTGGACCACCAAAAGAGAGCAATTCATGAGAATGCTCCCTGGTGTCAGAGGTCTCGATATGAAGATCTATATTTACCTGTTTTCAAACTCATCGCGGCACTTGCCTAGCAGCAGTAAACGGAAGGTGCAGGCGCTGTTGGGAGGTTCAAAGTTCGGAGCTTCTTCTGACAGCCGCTTACATAGCTGAGCGTACATAGAACTGTACTTCGGCTCATCTAGTGCTTTTTCAAATATCTGCAACGCACAACGGAAAACAATAAGAAATTGTTGGTAATCAGCTGTGGTGATAATGGCCGGCTGAGAAAACAAAACTAGCACTCAGACACGAACAGGCCATCTTTGAGTCAAAACAAACTCTCTGGTGGAAACCACGAATGATAAGAACAACAATCATCATTATGTGCCAACTTGAATAATTTACGACAGGCGATTTTAATTACTAAATATTTAGACAACTTTCTTTTACTCTTTTGATATTATGTGATAAATTCATAAATTACAAAAATGACTCACCAGAAGAATAACTCCTTTAAGAATCTTACTAGAGTTGAGATCAGTGTTTAAAAGGTCATCACTTAATTTTCTGAATTTCTCCGGGGTTAGCTTGTTCAAGATGCCACGCACCTGCAAGAGGAGATAAGTCAAGGCGTGTGCAATGAGAAAGGCGAGAAAACCGACCTTGCGAAAAGTGAGTTCATCTTTAGCTTCTTGGGTGAGTGCCTCTCGCCTGGCGACAGTAGAAGGAGGTATCCATCGGCATTTGTTGCTTGTGGACAGGGAACGAGCAAGTTCGTCCCTATCAAATTTCATAACGTTACTACCGAGCAGACAGGTAAAAACAAAAAACACAAGACTCAGGGTTGCAAATTACCTTCCTCCCGGGTTACGAGAAGCACTGCCCCCCACTCCCTTATACCCGTCCGTTGTTGCTTGTTGGTACACCACCAATCAGCAATAATCTGCAAGCTGAGTAGATGATCAATCGGGCTAGGCACCTGCGAACAAATTCGATTTGATTAATCTCTTCGCCGAGATCAATAGGGTTTTCGGGAGGCTATTTGGGTCACGCGGCGCCACTCGTTAGGCTTATTAAAACGCATCACGTGCCTCGCACTGACGCCACTGCTAATTATTTTTATTTTGCGTTCTTTCTTGCAGCGCCAACAAGTTGCAATTCGGTCACAGTTGCTGGAGTGAAGCGCAACGAGCTATGTAAACATCGATATAAATGGCGTGTCCTACTTCGCCAACTGCACACATCTGCAAATGCTGGCTGGCTGCACCACTTTCCGCCCCGGTTGCATCTCCTGGCGGCGGCTTTTCTAGGGCAAAACTCGGTTTTTCCGCCGCACGTGGACGTAACCAGAGCGTTAATTATGCAACCAAGAGAAATTCGTACGGCTTTACGTTAGGCAACCACTTGCAGAATTGGGGACACTTTGTACTGCGGACGACTTGCAAATAAGCAAAATGATAATTTCTTTTGTGTTGCCTTGAAAAAGTTGAAACGCTGCTGATTTCACTTTTGAAGTATATTATAAATCAATTTCACAGACCATAAAATAAATTATTTTTTTCGTGTAAAAAACGTGTTTGAGAGATTTTCAGATTTGAGCAAGACCGTGTCAAGCCTGCACTAGACACTGCTCTCACTGGACTTTCTCTCAATTAATTTTGCACCCTTCCCAAGGAACTCAAAAAATTCCTCATGAGTCCCAAAGATGGGCCGAGTGCCGTTATTATTTAGAATTAAAAGTAAAAGTATATAAATTATTTTTAAGCGCTCTACAATCATAATAATTTGAATTTAATTAAAAGAAACGAAAGGAGAAAATGTCAATTATAAATTGGTAAGGTATTGCCAAAAATAAGAGCGCCAAAACCGTCTTTTGAGGGCTTTGTACATAAAACCAGCGTTGCCAAATCAATGGAAAATTTTAAGTACATTTTACAACTTCACAGCTTATAAAATTAATTATGTTACGTTTCGAATGTTTATCTAATTCTTTCTTAAAGCCACATCTCATTTGTTAGCGCAGTGTGAAATTGGTGATTCCGTTTGAATCAGGATAGAAATTCAAGTGAATTCAAACACGTGGACGATTCCATGAATTCAGAATTTATTCGTACTCGTTCTTGGCGTCATCGGCAGGCGACCACGAGGTCATGAAATTTTTCCTCGGCTTGGGGTCGAAAGCGGTGGAATTCCCACCACGTTTCAGGAAAAGGAATGCGTCTCGAGACCGCAAGCTGCGAATTTTTAACGAGCTTGTGCTGCGAGAAAAATTATTGTGCATGTACCGTTCAATGCTGGATGTGTACAATGACGTAGGCTGCACGAGAAACGAGGAAATTAATGGCACAGATAGCCCCAGCCGAGAGATAATGCGTGCTCAAGTGACTCATTCTTTCTCTTGCGACTCCAAATGCAAAGTTTTTGAACGCTTTCTTTACTCAAATTCGGCCGAAATTAATAAATATCACACTGAAGAAGGTGTAGAGACGGTGAAACGGACGGCGAGGTTCGTTTCCGATCGGCAAAGGAAGTGTGAATAACCTTGAATTTGTCTCGAGAACCGTCTGAGGAACCGAGGAAGGTGGGTTTTGGGGCTAAATTTCGGATACTCACGGGCGTTACTCCATCCCAAGCTGTGGCGAACCGGGTGAAAAAAAGTTTGGGCCGCGCGACGAAACGAAAAATGAAGCGTAGAAGCGAAGCTGAACCAAGTTTGAAGGCTTTAAGATTTCAAAAGTCCTTTTCACTTATTTCACTCCTTGGTTCCAAATGGCGTCGGCGGCAAGCAAGCAAGCAGGCAGCAGCATCAGCCAGCAGTTCAACCTCCCCACCCCTCCGCTTCCCCTTCTCGCTCTGCCCACTCGGTCTCGCTCGATTTTTCTCGTTTGCCTTCTCGTTTCTCGGAAATTTTCAATTTTTTATCAATTTATTTATGCGAAAATCTTAATTTTACTTTACATTGCCTCTTAAATTTTATTTTTAAATTTCAAGGAACATTTTTTCTCGGCCTCGAAGTCAAGGACCGCCTTATTTTTAAGTTCTCCCGGAAAGTTGTCAACGAGAAAAATTACTCGTTAGTGGCCCGTGACGTAGGCGCGCTACGTGCGAAGAGCAATGAAAACCCCGAAGTCGATGACCAAGAGACCGAGACCTCCTTTGAAACACGTGTATAGATGTCTCGCGTTGCCCAGAAAGGCCAAAAATTCCCCTTCTTTCTTTCCACTGTCAGAAATTGATAACTTTCCTCCTTTGAAGAAGTGATTCATTTTAATTTTTCAAGATTTTTTAAAATGTTATTATTCACTGTATAAACTGATGAAAATTTAAAAGCATTATATAACCACTTAAAAAAAAACAGCAAAGAAAAACATTTTTTTCAACCTTATTAATTTCCAAAAATTGCAAAAATCAATGATTTCGCAAATTTTATAGAGCACTTCTTTTCAATTTCGCAACCAGAATGAGATTTAAAAAGCGCAGACGAGGAATGACGGCAAGTTATATTTCTGGCCGGTTTGCGCGCTAAACCTGTGTTATTGGTCCTTGGATGGGTCACTGACACACACCTTGCTATGGCATGTCTGCGCTCGGAGCTCTCGCCTCCCATCATTCCGGCAAATAATGCGGCATAAAAATGCAATAAACTGATGCTGCCCCTTCCCCCTGCTCGTTTCTGCAAAGCAAAGAGCCTTGAGATCAAGGTTGACTGAATTATTCCTCCCATATGAAGCAATGACCTGAACAAAGAGCTTCACCGGCATTTCCTGGTCGGCTGAATTAATTTTTACGTTTGATATTCAGCTGATTTAAAAATAAAAATTGGACTTAAAATTTTAGGAAAAGATGAAAGAACTGTTTTCCAAAGATTTTTTTTTATTTAATTTATAAGTGAAGCGGCCTTAAATTATTATTCATCCTCCCTCTCACTGCGCCTACTCTTCTTCTTGCTTCTGTGCCTCTGTGACGGGCTGCGAGATCTGCTCTTGTGCCTCTTCTTGCTGCTTCTGGTGCGTTCTGCAGATCTTGATCGAGATCTATGTTTGTGTCTGTGAAAGAGAAAGCAAAAATTATAATTGCTATAGAAAAAAAAATAAATTATTGAACTGAGCAACTCGTTAAATGAAAAAATGTAATGCCTGGTTCTAAAAATAAGCAAAAATTAATGAATGAGACTAATCCTAAGTTCAAACAAGACCTTGGTGAAGACTGGGAAAATTCAGTAACTAAATAAACTTACCCAATTTAGACACAATCATGATAAGCTTTACATTCAAAATAAAAACTGTCTCTGGAAAGTTGTTTCCTTAATCTACAGGCGGTTATAAACACTTGGTCAAAATGAACGGAAATAATATAAAATTATTGGAAATTATTAATAAGAATGAAAAGCACTCAATCCGACTAATGCATATTCTCTCTCCATCATATTTTATCTCAATGGTAGAAAAAAATGTACATTGTCAGCATTAAAACTAATATCTATAACGGCCATAATGGGACACTATTTAAATTGGAGCAACGATCTTGATTCTAGTAAGTGATCATTTCCATATTTTGGTAACGTGTTACCTTTTGAAAATAAAGATTATTAAAAATAGGAGGTTTATAAACACCCTGTATAGCAAAGATAAAAATGTCAAAATTGAATTTCCAAAATTATTTCTGCAGTCTTCAGCCGAAATGTGAAGAGCAAGATACAACCCAAATACAATCAACTAAGTCACAAAAATACCAGAAACATCACATTCAAATGAAAATAAATAAAATAATTTTTAACATGTTCAAGAACATTGTAGAAATTAAAAAAAAATCACGAAAACAGGTTTTTTATCTAAACAGCAAAATTTTACAATACTGACCTAGAGCTACGCCTTTCTGACTTTTCTCCTTCTTCCTTATCCCCAGCAGAGTCTCTACTGTGCCTGCTGGCTTCATCTTGAGGGCCCAGTGGAACAACCACATTGGTTGCCGAGCCCCTGTTTTCCCAACGAGGCTGAAATGTATTCTAATATTACAAATAATCCAAGTTGCATTTATATTTTTATTCTAAAACAAACCTGATTGTTCCATTGGTGCTCTTGAGTGGGTTCGTAATTGTTGTAATACGGATCAGCCTCAGGAGGATAAAAGTCTCCACCACCGCCGCCACCTCCTCCGCCGCCTCCATAATTTCCACCTCCAAAACTAAAATTTTAGCAGAAATTCATATTAAATTACTCAACAAAACAATATAATTTGTGAGCCTTACGGAGGAGGGCCTCCAAATCCAGGTGGAGGAACATTCAAATTTGGATAAGATCCTGAGAAATCTGGCCGTTCACTTCCCATTACCTAAAGAGGTGAACAGTTATTAAAATCTTATTCAATAATAATCATCAATTAACACCCCTTTTCAATAATCACTTTAAAAAATAATTGATTTTGAACTCACAGTGATTTGTCCTTCTCTTTCTCCGCCAATAACATCAATGGAGCCGCCACCTTTTCTTCCAGGGGGAGGACCAGCTCGTTTCAGAGCCAAATTACTGGCGTACTTGGAATTTTCATTTACAATAGACACTGGAATGCTGCCAGTCAGGGTCTATAGTAAGAAAATTTTAAATAAATCTTCCATTTCTAATTTCTAATCCATCAAAATCACCTTCACAACACTGTTACTAGACACAGTGGTGGTAGCTCCGATGCCGGCCAGTCCGACGCCAGACTCGTTGATTCTCAGCCTCTTCTGCTTTTCACAATATGCTCTCCAAGTGTCCTCATTGAAGCCGTAGTTAAAGTAATCTTAAAGAATATATGAAATCAATATTAGATATTATAATGGAATCAATATCTAGATCAGTAAGATTGAATTATAATACCTGTGATGTCAGCACCAGGCATTCGCCATGGCTTGTCTTCCATAGAATCCAAGTTGTACTCATGAGCAGGTACACCATTTATGGTACCAACAGCTTCAAATTCATCAATTGAAAATTTCCCCTGTTGTTGCTGTTTTGGAAAGTACATAAAGATTAAAAAAATAAGGTTCATGCAAAATTTAATAATTGTACTTTAGCCTTGTCCGAAGGCCCACGTTTCATGTTCATGGATGAGGCATAAGTGGTGGAGGTTTTGATGTCACCAATCGTGACTTGGACGTCGTCGTCGCTGTCATCGTCATCGTCCTCATCCTCCTCTCCATCATCTTTGCCAGCTTCTTTGTCATCGGTTTCGCCCTCTTCAGTGGCAACCGCTTCACCCGTTTCTCCAACCAAGTCCATGGCCTCGTCCTCAGTAGGGGTTGCCCTTCCATCTGCTCCGTTAGCGTCCGGTTCTGGAGCTACAGGAACATCTCCATCCTAAAAAATAATAATTCAATACAATGAATAAAAAAGGACGCTCTGAAACCGGCAAGTTTGACTTTAAAAATAGGGCATTAAAATACCGTTTCTGCCGGAGTTTCTACGGCAGGTGAGTTGCTTGGAGCTTCATCTTTGACTGGGGTTCCATTTTCTACGACCTGATCTTCATTTTCCGGAGGTTCAGGGTTGGAATCTCCGTAGAGCCAGGAATCCTCGTTGCTGGGATCGTCCGCCATTTTTCAAACAGCTGGAAAATGTAAGCAAATATTTCAGTACTACCACCTGCAAAATGTTTCTGATTTTTTGGAAAAATAATATATTAAGTCTAAAAAGTATTTAAATATAATAAATAATTGTAGCTTTTGATATTTTAATTTATTTGTAGAAGTTTACAACGTAAAAGACATATATGTACGTAGAAAACATAATGCTGCTTAAACTTTGCCGTGTTGCAATTTTTGCATTTTTGAGGGAGGCGGCGCGGAATCATTACCAAAGGGGAAGGTTAATAAACACGACGATCCACATTGATTTGTGGTCGGAAGATTTTCTTATTTCCTTGTGAATCATGAAAGTTTGACACATGACTTTGGTTCTTTCAGCTTTTATAGCATACAATTAGCTTAATATGACAGCTCCTCAAAATTTAATCGTTGAAGTTTTCTATGGCGGTTCACACAAACAATTGCTTGACATTGTAATAGGAGGTATGTATATTTTGAAGAATTAAATTTAATCTATTATAATCAACTTTATATGAAACAAATCTTCTTTCTTTATCTATTGAGGTCTTGGTATATCATCAAAATGTCATCTTGTCACTCTTCCAGACAAGAAATGGCACTGGAAAGCAAGGACAGGTGCTCTCACTGTCTTAGATAAAATTCCTTTGGAACACAATTTTAAGTATTATGATAATTTTATGTTTATGAGAAATAACAATAACAAAATAAATTCTCAGAGTAATCTTTGTGAGCAGCGTTTTGAACTTAGCTGAGTTGTTAGCCCTTCGACCAGACCTACAAAATTTGAGAAAAATAGTTTATTTCCATGAGAACCAACTTGTTTATCCCGTCAAACAACAAAAAGAAAGAGACTTTCAGTATGGTTATAACCAAATCTTAACTTGGTATGTTTATTGAAAAAAAACTTTTTTTATTAATTTCATAATTATGTACAGTTTAAAATTAAATCATTACTTATTTTTTAGTTTGGTGGCTGATGTCGTCTTATTCAACTCGGAATTTAATAAAAATTCATTTCTATCAAACATTTCTAAATTCATGAAAATCCAACCTGGCCCTGGTAGACCTAAAGGACTCAAAGAAAGGATAGAACCGAAATGCAGTGTGCTTTATTTCCCCATTCATGTAGATGCCTTGAGGTCAGCAACACTAAACGGAAATAAAAAAGATGGGCTTTTGCATCTACTTTGGCCACACAGATGGTAGTAACAAATGTTCTGCCAAAAGGACAATAAAAGTAAATTGGCTTTCTTATTTACAGGGAGCATGACAAAGACCCAGAAATGTTTGCCAGGGTATTGCTGTCGCTGCATAAATCTGGGCTTGACTTTCGAGTATCCATGCTGGGAAAAGTTTGCTCTGATTTCCCTGAAAGTCTCGTCTGCGCTAAAGACGAATTGAATGAAAAAGTTTTGCATTGCGGATTTGTTGAGTCGAAGGATGAATATCTCTCCATTTTGCATGAAGCTGACATCGTCATCTCCACTGCAAAACATGAGTTCTTTGGTGTTGCAATGTAAGAAAAATTTACATTTTTTAATATAATCTTTAATAATCTTTTAATATTTTCAGGATGGAAGCTGTTATTAGTGGTTGTCACCCACTGTGTCCTAATGCTATTGTTTATCCAGAAATCTACCCTACAGAATGCTTATATGAGAATGAGGAAGATTTGTTCAACAGGTTAGCAAAATTTTGTTCAGAACCTAGAAGTGCTAGAATCTCTTTTGGAGAGATAAAAATAGACGTTGAAAAGTTTAGTGATAAAGTTTTGCTGCCAGAATATGCAAAACTTTTTAATTTGTTTTGATATTGTAAAGAATAAAACTAATATTGTTAATAAATAACAAAAAAAAAATTGAATTGAAATTTTTAGTCTTTTTATGTTCAATATCAATCAAATGGCTGGATTTTGAAGATAATATTTCACATATAATATAATAATTTGAATTCATCACAGTTGGAAAAATCGACCATAGAACAAACTAGAAAAATATTGATGCGGCCAAATATTGAAATTGAGGGCGCCGCATCCATTATTTAGTGCCGTTGGCGCAATGCCAGTGCAGTTGCAAATTACATGGTGCTGGATGTCAGAGCCAGAAAATTGTTTGAGTGAAATAATGCGCGCAGCACCTGAAGCGGAACAATGCGAAGACTGCAGCTGCGGTCAGATGCTGGCTGGGTTTAAATGGCTATGAGAAATTGTTTGAAAGGGGACGATGATGAGAATTATTTGGAAATTCAACTCTACTTTATCGATAAAACTTACATTTTAAAATAACTCAAACTTATAATATCTCTGAAGTTTTAATTTGTTGAACAAATTAGATGTCTAAAAAACCCAATTCTTCTCACACTAAAGGGGAATTAATTTCACATAATTTAAATGCTTCCGCATCCCTGATTATTTCTGCATGCTATGAATTCCTAATGGGCATAAGCGGCACTAATTTATTACAGCGACAAGATTGTTTGTTTTAATTTGCATAAATATAAATACACATAATAGCGGAACCGGGAGAGGAAGAGGAAGAGCCGAAATCAAGTACCCATATGTGAAAAAAGAGCATCGGCTTTTTCAATTTTACTTTTTTTCCTTACCAACAGCAAATGAAAATTTTCACGCCTGATCGCCACCCTATATCGGCTCTGAAATTATTATTTTGAGGGTGCATCGCTTTTATTTTGTAACGGGAGACGTACTCGTGCTCACAGTTGAGGGGCATCTCTCTTCTCTCTTGCTTTATTTTTCATTGACAGCAGCAGCAAAGCGCGGATCGTTTAATCATTATTGGCTCGTGTAGCCACCCACACTCTGCAGCACTTCTCGCGCGCGGCGAGTAATAATGTGAATTAAGAATGCTCGTTGCACTCACTTCCGGCTTCCCTTTTGCTACGCCAAATTGTAATCGAGCCGCTAAAGCGCTCACCTGCCGAGGAAGGTGATGTACCCGCTCGCCAGCAGCAGCCAGAGGACAGCTGTCACCTTGCAACACCCCACGTCAAGCTTGACCGAGCCCACCCTTTGCCGCCCCAATTTCCTCACAAAAGAGGTACAACAGTTTGGATTTCGTGAGAACACGCAAAAATTGCTTTTGTGAGCAACGCGTGTTTTTCACTAGGCCATTTCCACACTACTTGTGGGTGGAATATTAATTTTTTCTAAAGAATACTTTAGGCCATATTCGCAAAATTTATTTCGGGCACGGTGCTTTTATTGTATGTTTAACAATGAGGACTTTCTAGAAAATAATAAATTAACCTTTTTTTCACGCCTGTGTGTTTCGAATGTGCCCCAAAATAGCACTGTATTGAAAAGGCGTTCGATAGAACAAAGATAATAATACTGAGAGGCCAGAAGGCAAAAGCATGACAATGCGATTGCAATCTAATCAAACTGATGAAACTGACCTTTCGAAGTTCATTGTTTGGGTCCTCTTGTTCTCATTTAATGCAAATGTTTTTTTACTAGAACAGTGATACGCCATAATGTATAATGTGGCACCAATATTAAGATCACACTATGATTTAAAAATTTACATATTTCACTACGAATCGTTAGAATGATTTATTGAAAAATATAAGAACGCTGCTCACTAAAATATATATCAAGCAAAATTCTGTTTGATATGTAAATCCATAGAACGGAATCAGACTCGTTGCTCCTACCGTTAGGCAGCCTGCCAGTAAGGAGAGTTAAGCAAATTGCATAAAACTGAAAATTTAAACATAAAATTTTATGTCTCTTGGAAAATAATTTAAAAATATAAAAAATCAGGATTTAAAAAAAAAATAATTACCATGCAGAGATATTAAGATGTCACAAAATTCCACAATAAGTTTAAATAAAAAATGTTACAAATTAAATTTTTTCTGCTAATTTTGTTCTATTCCTGGCCATTTTTAATATATTTTTTGTTTTAGGCTGTTTATTTTGTTGAGAAAAATTTGCTTGACGTCCTTCAAAAACAAACAATTTATTTTACTGACGTCCAAATTTATTTAAAAAATTATAATCAATTTGCACTGATCAAAGAATGGCGTTAAAATTATATTTCTCATAACAATATTATTTATTATTCCGCAAATTATGTATTTTTTTGTATAAAAAATTTCGAGAGCCTCCTTTGCTTTTTGAAAAGGTAAAGCGCTAGCTTTTTCTTTCGACAAGAATAAATCGCAACTTTCAGCAATAAAGAATCCGTCTCCTATTTTTTGCACCGGTGTCTGACAGGGTGGCGAGCCGAAAGGCCACTCGAGCTATTCGGACGCGAAAGCTAGACAGCACCTCGCTCGTCTCGGTGCCGCGACGGCCGGCCGCTCCGTGAATTGAACATTCATTTATGTAAGTGCCCTGCACTCTGACAGTAAACACGCTACGCTAACGCGATGTGTTTTATGTGCAAAAAGGTCTTGTTGCTACTTTATCGTCGCAAAATTGTTTTGGGCGTGGTTTCGGGCTAAATTTATTTGCACGTCCTTACATGCACAACAAAAGGAAGTTGGGGAAAGTGTATAAAATTAATTTGTTGGTTGACATCAGAAGACATTTATGGCCTCTAATTACCAACGATTTAATTAAGCAATTAGAAATTAAATTTAGCACAGTGAAACATTTCCTTAATTTCTGACAGGCAAATAAATTAGATGCATTTAAAAAGACTAGATAATTTTAAAAATTTCACTTAAAATATTTTCTTACGGAGAGAAATGAATTTTTAGGATTTTGAAGAGGCACTTATCAATTTTTATAAAACAAATTTTTATTTCATTTATAGGAAAATTATAAATATTTTTATTTATAATGAGTAAAGTTTAAACTGGTTTAAACCAATAAATCAATCTGATTTTTCCATTTCTGTATGACTGGTTGCGAGAGAACAAATGAAATGAAAAAAAAATTTAACAAGATATAAAAAAGAACACTCTTTCTCATTTCGTTTAAATTTTTGACAAAAATTTTCAACGAGGAACAAGCACAAGTTTTCATTTCTAAGAACATTTTTTCCTATGTTCTCCACATCGTATTTTTAAATCTAACTGATCGAGGTTTGATTTTTCATTTAGCACGCCGCCGGCGAGGATTATCAACTTGAGAAACTTTATCTCCAGTGTGCAGTCACGCGTTTTACGCAATAGTCCACATTGTTTTTAAACCATTTATGCTCGCAAGTTATTTGGTGTGCAAATACACGCGGCGAAGAAAAGTAGTTAGCCGGCGCGAGAGAGTAATAAAGGGCAGCACGCTCGGCAGCTTAAAGATTAAATAGTTGGTCTGGCCGCGTGAGATAAAAGGGTTTTCCAGCGGGCCGCGAGCCGGTGACAATGGCAGGCTTAAAAGTGACAATATTATCAGCGATACGCGGCCGCTCTCGCATTTGGAGAACAAAAGATAGAAAGTCAACATTGCCACAGTGCCGAAGAAAGAAGAAGAAGCGGAGAAGAATGAGTGAGTGTGAGCGTAATATGAGCCGCCACCCATTTCTCACACTTCAAGCTTTCTGTTGAAACAGCAGTGAAATTTGTCACTCGCCTCCAACCCACAACTCTTTATCGCTTTGATTGCGAAATCTGCAAGATTCGCTCGCGCGGCGCCGATTTGTGTGCTCAGCAGAGAGAAGCACAATGCATTATAAAGTGTGCAATCGAAATCCGAGACGCGAATTTGCCAAAGGTTGCTTTTCAAAGAAATGCAGCGAGAGCGCTTTTCTTCTTTGCATGCGTGCAGCGGAGGATAATTAAGTTCTACTTTTTTTTTATAGAAACACAAAATTATAGCTCTTTGTTGCCATCGATTCAAATAAACGTCTACAAAATGTAAGGTGATAAAGACTTAAATTTTTGAATGAATTCTTTGTTGGGTTTGCAAAGAAAATTTATTCAAATCCAAAACATCTCAAATATATTTTAAAATAATAAATTTAATTTTCGGAATATTCAATATTTTCAAAAATTTCTCTAACTTAAAAAACCCTTTAGTTTTTGAGAAAACGTAAGTTAAAATTCTACAAACATGAATTTCACATCTAAATTGATCGTCGCAATATTTCTAAAACTCAATTGAATTTCAAATATTTCAATTTATAAGTTTAATATTTTATAAATTTTTCTTTTATTAGATGGAAGCGTCTTTGATTCTGATCAGGCCAGGCCAATAGGAGACCTCATTATTTGGCAAATGTGCTTGAGTGAGAGAATCAATAGTTCAACAGCCGGTCTGTCCACTCGCTCTTTGCTGGTGAACTGAATATTTCATGAGAACGACTCGGCTGAGGACGATGATGGCGAGACGGAAAAAATTTTGGGCCACAATCGCGATTTGTTGTCGGCGAGGGCGGCGGTAACGACGAATTGATTGCCTTTTTTCAGAATCGCACTCCTTATCTCGTCTATACTTGGCTGGAATATTATATTATTTGCAAATTTTTTCACGATTCAATTTGCACGCCGAGTGTTGGTGTCACGTCCCTGCTTTATGTGACTGCGACAATCACGCACGATTTTGTGCCAAAGCATTTGCTGGAAAATGAAGTTTGGGCACGCGTCGCGCAGAGGTGCCATCAAAAGGGCCAATTAGGATGCTCTCTTGTTGCCCGTTTGCTGCGCGTGCAATGCGGGTTTGTGTAATCACAGACTGTTTGCTTAACTACTGCCTTTGAATCTGCGTGCTTATTATTTCGCATGAGCAAACACTGGGGCTTTGGACCAGAGGATAATGTGGCACAAAATTCAGCTAATTAGTAGCAAGCGAGCGAGAGAGCAGCTTTGTCTTTTATACTGCGCAAACTTTGGTTGGACGCACCGCCAGCTTCCAGACTATGCACTGCTTCTCACTCAGAGACAATTCATTTAAAACTCAATTAGTGAAGCGAAATAAGATGCGTCAACCAGCCAATAGCAAAGACGAGTTTTCTTTAAGTGAAAATTATGAAAAGCATCTAAATTAAAAAAAAAAATTAATTAAGGAAATTAAAAATCTAGCCACATTTATTTAAAAAATAAAGTAAAGTTTTTAATTTTATAAACATTAAATTTTTAAACAAATACCTAAATTTTTAGGGAGGGAAGTTTAATTGTAAAAGTTATGAATTATTATTCATCATGTTTACAATAGAGAGGTGAAGAAAATTTAGCTTTTTCCTCAAAGAAAATTATTTTTTCTAATTTTCGTTTTGATCACGATTTGCACTCTAATATAATCAAGAAAAATATGAAAATTAACCATAATGAAAAAAAAAATTACACCTTTAAACACTCTTTTCTTGCTCACGAATAAGGATTTCATAGACCGTATCCAAAACGGTCAGTCTTTTTAATTAAATTAATTTAATTAAATGAAAAATAATAATAATAATAAAATAATTTTGCAACAATTTTCAGAGCTCTTCTCATGTAAGTGCCAACTTTACTCATATAAATTATAAAAGTTATGTAAAACAACCTAATGAATAAATTAAATATTTAAAAATGTTGATATTCAACTAAATTACACCAAAATGCGGAATTTTATATAACTTTTCATCTTATTTTTTCCCTGCGTATTTTCTCATATAATTTTATATTTTAATTATCAGTTTTAAGTTTTTGAATTTTTGTTTTGAAAGTAATGTTGTTTTTTTAGCTTAATTTAAAAAGTCCTCAAGAAACTTACGGTGGAAAATCTGGGAAACATGATAAATAATAATTATTTCATGTACTTAGAGTTGAAATCCTTTAAAAGTGTCGAAATATTTAAAAATATTATTGGATGAATATTAAAGTTTCAACATACAGGTAAACAAAGGATTTTTGCGGTTGGGTGGCGCTGAAAATTAATTAAGCGTCGAGGGGCGCTCGTCTCGTGCCGCAACAATGGGCAGGTCGCGCGCAATATTTAAAGAATAAAGCAGTAGAGCGCGGGTCGATCGTATTATACGGTGGATATTAGAAGTCGGCGGTGGCGGCGGCGGACCGACCCCCGTATGGCACCGTCGGTCGGTGTGCTGAATAAGCATAGAGCGCATAACGTCTCGCGCGCGGAGGTGGAGCGATCGGTGGAGAGCGAGTCTCCTCAACTCGACTGGCACACTCACTCTACACACACTCTCGTACACACACTTGGTGGAGTAAAAGCAGCGGGCCCGCGCCGCGCAGTGTTGGTGTCCCGACGAAACGGCCGGTTGGTTCGGCCTGGAGGATGTTGAGTGGCCCTGGCTGTCGGCTCACCAGCAGCAGCACTCCTTCCTAACATCACCCTGGATCTACCGCCTCCGAGGGCGAGGCCGTTGAGCGAGCCGCCGACGACATGCCTGCCGCCGAAGAGCAGACCGCCCCCGAGCGGCCGCCGCGGCCGCCGCCGCCGCCTCACCGTCGACGCAGCAGGCTCAAGTGACATTATGTTGGTGCTGGTGGTGCTGCTCGGCGGCCTGCTGACGACGGCCTCGGCCCTCGCCTCATCGCCAGGTAAGACTTATAATTAATTATTCGCAATTATTTAAAAAGAAAAAACTTGCAAAAACATTTGCACAAATAATTGTCTAAAAATCCTGCATCATTTCATTTTGCAGTCAGAAAAATTTTAATTTGGAAAAAGCCGGCTTTTTATGATGAATACTCGCCATTTGCAAAAAATCACTTATTTAGACAATTTTTGTACTCTCTGAAGCTTCAGAATAGAAATCAAATTTGTGACCACCAACCCCTTTAAAACTCTGCAACAATATAGAGGGACCGGCGTTCAATTTTAATTGACATTATTTATTTATTTTTTTCCTTATTTATTTTGGCACTGCCCTTCTATTCGAATGCGTTTGTGGCCCGAAATACGTGGTGGTACGGAGAGACGGCGGCTTTTGAGACGCGCGGCCACCACGCGATATCTATTTCGAGCCGCTTCGCAGAGGTGTGTGTTTGTAATAGGAAAGTGTGTGCGGCCACCGCTGTTCACCCCTTTGTCTCTCGGCCTTTGCCGCGCCAATTTGACCGCTCTCTCGCGAATCGCACCCTCGTTTTCCGGTCGCGCACAAAAAAAGGCCGGCCGGCTGCAAGGAAAATTCCCATTAAAAGTTGCCTTTCATAGCCGCCTCCACTTTGATCCTTTTGTTAAACCAACGTGACATAATATTATGTGCAGGATAAAAAAATTTGAGTTTATTCTGTCACAACTTTGGAAAACACTAAAGAAATTGCTTCTTGAAACCTGCTCAAGAAAAAAAAATTAATTTTTTTTATAGTATTGAAGTATTTGTTTCAATTTCTTTTGTACACCTGCTAAGCTTTCACTCGCGCTAATTAAACTCAATTTTACTTGACTTAACGATTCTGTATAAATATCTTCATGTAAGCTGCATTAAATATTAAGTGATTATGCAACCTGCGAAACACATTCTTAAAAAGCCCACATCATTTTTGTAGCTGATTTTTTTATAAAATATTCTTATTAAAATATATATGGGTAACTTGTCTTAAAAACTCACTATCAAAATGATAAAATAAATTTAAATTTTAAAAAAAATTTAAGCAAAAAAAATTATTTTGCGTTTCGTGGATTTTGAATTTTTAATTTTTCAAAAACAAAAATTGTATAAATATGACTGGGGTTAAATGATGGTCCATTAGGTTTGGCAGCACCTGACCACGACTAATTGGGCAGCGATGAGGAGAGAGGGATCCTAATAAAAGGCTCACTGCGGCATTACTGCAGAAAGGCAGGCAGAATACAGAGCGGCGATATGTACGGCGAGCACTAGACGACGACGACTGCCTGCCTCCGTAATATCGATCCGAAGAGCACCAGCAATCGACCTCCTTCCCGACTATATACTCAAACTTGTACTTACTTGGCGACCCCTTCAACCCTTGAAACGGTTTAGGCCTACCTTGATTTCGGGGGCGACGAACGTTCCCGATGGACCGAAACCAGGCCAAGTGCCGCTCCAAAGGGTTGCGCACAATTGTTCCTTCCGGTCCACAACGGCAATGCGTACCCAAGCCAACTCGCTTCCGACTCTATTTGATAAACCACTAGTAATTTCAACTGGAATTTTAGTTGAACTATTTATTTTATATTATTTCGCGAAAAATTTTAAATTTTGGCACTTTCAGCAAATAAATATCTGATGGGATGGAAAAAAAATAAAAAAATTGATTTGGAATTTCTGTGTAATATAAGAAGACTTTTTTAACGAGGTTTTGGTCTGTTTAATTAAAAGTATGGAAATTTCAATTGCAAAAAATTATAAACCTGGCGCCTTTTTTCATTACATAAACCTAGATAATCACTATGAAATACAAAGAAATATCAAACTTTCACTTCAATTTCTTTTTCCATTGAAAAACTTTTGAGTGCTCCATAAATAAGGATTTTTTTCGCTTACTTTTTTCTTCTTGACAATCAAGTGGAATCTACTGTCAGCAGCAGCTAATTTCAAGTGAATCTCGAGCCACAAAATGGAGTGTGTGTAAAACGCTGCCGCTGTCATGTGTAGTTAGTGTCTGGCCTGGTGCACTCTTGGTCGTCTTCCCCAGCAGCATAAAATAATAATCCCCATCTCTCAATAAACTTGATCCTTTTTGGTGCTCGCAGCCTGTTCAGACACATCTGATACAGGCAGAATAAAAAGTGGTCATCCCCTCCGTCTTATGCGGGGGCACGTGCCAACAGATCATTTTTCTTGTCATCTGTCACTCGCACTTCCGAAACCGGCGGCTCGCTCCAGATGCTTTTTATGAGTTGAGAATTTTTTAGTGCTTGTAAAACAGAGGAGAGATGCCTCTCAATCGCTCCTCCACAAATTTGCACATTTACGGAGTGAAATTTTAATCGTGCGAGGCAAATCTTTAAAAAGCCGCAATTTTACCACAAGATCTGTAAGTCGTTGTGGCTTCCTATTTAAACTAATTAATTCTTTTGGCATTTTAATCTTTCAAGGAAAATGTGAAACTGGTATTTCCTGTCACTAATTTGTTAGAATAATATCCGGAATAATCTTTAAGAAAGTAGCTCTGATCTCCAATTTCAATTTTTTTTATGGAAGTGGAAAAACAATGAAACTTTCGATTTATTGATTTAATTTATTAATTTAATATTTATTATTATTAATGACATTAACATAAATGAATGAAATACAACAACATCTTCTATCTAATCATTAACATAAAAAATAAAACCAAAAACAAAAACAATTAATATCCAATAAAATTAATCTAGATTTTTAGCACGACTGTGAATACACGCTGGTAATTAAAGAGTGCACTTTTTCGTAAAACGTGTGCGACTTTTCTGTCTGGTTCTATTTTTAAAATCGTAACGCGCCGCTATTTGAAGACACTCACGTTGACCCCATGCGCGGCTGATTCAACTGCTTGGGCGGCGCGATTTTGATCAATCACAACACTCGCCGCGTTTTGATCACGCCACTCTCATTCCTAGTTTTATTAATAATCCCGCGGCTCGCGGAGGCCGCGAGCGCACTCGCGATCATGAAGGAAAATTATAGCTCCTTTGACGTCAAACGATTCCAGATCGGCTTCTCTAATCGTTATCAGGGCTGGGTGCTGAGATTATCAGGAATTTTTGAGGAAAAACTGGTAGACGTGACGCAAATTTTGCGTGCTTATGCCTTTTATCTTGATAAAGCAATTAACTATTTAAAAAGGGGTGGAAGCAGTATACAAATATAGATTACAGTTTCGTTTTGTTAAGGACAATTATTTTTTACCGCGATATTGCGTCATTACAAGTTAGGTTTTATATTTAGAAATGGTATTTTTGTTTCATGGAAGAACATATTAATGAATGACGTACGTTTTCAGCATTGTGTTACCTTTAACAACTAAACCGCTTGTTAATTTTCTTTTAAAAGAACATTATCCTAATCACAAACTTCTGTTAAAACGCAACATAAATTCTTAAAATATGAATCTACTAATGACATCGCGGCACAACACAATTTCTCTCGTAATGATTAAATCTCTTTTTAACCCTTTCAATTGTTAAAATAAATATAATGTATGCTGTATAACTTCAATGTTTTTTTTTTTAAACTATGTAGCACATTATCTCAGATATTCAATTAGTATTATCGTGATTTTGTCCAGCGAAATTGTTATATTTAATTTAAAAAAAAAATAATAAAAAAAAAAAATAAATGTAAAGGCAATACCAAATCGTAATTAACCAACAAAGCGTGTGATAAGAATTAGCAGGGAAGCCTGAGCAAAGCGTTTCCAAGGTGGGATGACTCACGAAACCTGATCCGCGCGCGTCTCTCGTCTTGCTGGTGTCTAATTATTTCGATATTAAGTATTAGAGGGTTAATTGGCGTGCCCGGCGGGTCTTCCGCGATGCATCGCGGCGCAAGATGAGAGTGCGAGCACCTGTTCTCCCTCTCTTTCTCTCTCTCACTCGCCCTCCGGGTTTAAGGAGGAACCAACCCGTTCACCTCTCGGCGGCACCTACAACAGAAATCAATAGCCCCTTCTCAATGTAAACCACCCCACCTATTTGATAGATCTCTTTTTATACACAGTAGCAGAAGGGGTGGAAAAGAAAGAGAGGCAGAACGAGAGAGAAAAATTGATTTCTAATAAGCCAGCACCGTGAAGCTGCCAAGACAATGTGCCTTCGTCGTCGCCCCGAGATTAATTCGTCATTGAGCTGCGAGAGAGCTCAATCAATTTGCACCTTGTGTGCCGGTCTTTCATTTCCAATTTAAATAGATGTGCAAATTTAAATTTTTTTGCTTTGAGGAATAAAGTTTAGTAATTTTTAAAGCACAGTTATTTTCAATTATTAATTAATAAATTAATAAACAAATTATGCTATATAAATGATTTATTTTACTTATTATATTAATTAAAAGGTTGCAATTGGTGTTTTAGACTTAGCAAACTTAACTGTCATTGCCAAACAAGATTAAAATATTAACAAATTAAAAGTCAGGTCGGAGCTTAAATATTTCTATTTAAAGACCTCTGTTAATTTTTAAACCAATTTTTTTTTTCAATTCCGAATTATAATATTTCATATTAATAAATTTTAATTTTAAGGAACCACGAAGGAGAATGTAGCTCCCTTTAAAAGTAATGTTTTTGAACTTTCCATTAGAATAAAGGAGACTGGCTTCTCTGGCAAAAGCACATTCATTTTACAGCGTGCGTTCCGATCTGGGCGCATCTCCTCTTTTCCGGAATGCGCCATAAAGCGCATGCAAATAGTTTTTGCCGCGAACTGGAAAGGCGGCCGAGTGCATTTTAGTGTGAACGAGAAGCGCAAACTTTCGGCCATAAAGTGATTTATGGAGTTGTAAAACGAATAAAAAGTTAACCAAGGAGAGGAAAATAGGCGGCCGTAAATCATACCGAGTCCCCTGCTGAGATATGCTAACCCGTCTAGCTTGCGGGACGCGTTTGTTGCCTAAATTACGGCGCACAGCCTCCCGTCGAATGAATTTTTCACGGGG